GTGGATGTTATTTACTGTCTGAAGTTCCAGAATGTGGTATTGAATGGTGGTATTGAATGTGGTAAGTGATGCAGCCAGGAAGAGTCAGAGTACTTGGCACATGGCTGTGGAGTGTAAAGCCTGATAAACTTTTGGTATGATGACAGTCATGACAGTTGTCTCTTTGAGCAAGTGACTGTTCTTTGACTCTCAAGAAAAGCTGAGGTTCAGGTGCTGATTAGTACAGACCTGTCCCTCTTCCCTTGAGATCCAATTCCCCTAAACCTTCCAGTGGTTGCAGACCACAGGATTGCTGTAAATAAACTAACACTGAAACTCTCAACAAGAGAGGTCTCTAGATTGTGCTCCTCAGACCAGAGTCTTGCAGGATGTTCTTGAAAACTCATACACCTGTCTTTGCTCTGCTTGTGTGAACTATTACAGCTCTAATTTATCCGATTTATTTGTCTTCTTATTTTAGATGGTGAAAGGTAATTATTTCACTACTTCATCTCCCATTGTTTTGCTTTGGGCTTTCTTGATTTTTACTGGTTTCTTGGGGCAGGGCTTGAAAGATGAGTTTATGTGAGGCTTTTATTTCCCTTTATCCGGATCATTACAAAGGAAGACCAAATCTTCCTTCTCTTTTCCTAATGTTTTCACTATTTAACAAAAGTAAATTAGTTTCCTATTTGTACATTTGGGGCTTTTTCTTACACAATCCCATTTCAACAAGTATTTTCAGAAGACAATCTGAAATAACTTTAGAAGTATGTTTGGAATCTGCAATATGCACCTGTTTCTAGGCTGCACCATTGGAAGACTTTTTGCATAACTAATTGTAGGTTAAGAAAAAAAACCAGAACAGGTGTATGATTTGCAGGTAATTAAATTCATTGGCTTTATTTTTATCTTCTCTAGAGAAGCTCTGCGATACTTGACTTCCCCCACGAGATGGCAATAGAAAGCTGTTGTAGCAGTGCATAGCTGAGTGCAGCCTGGAATATGTCAGGTGAATGACTGACTTCTGTTTGCACAGTCTGTCTAAGAATACTCACGTCTTTTCTTGCATTCCAGAATGACCTAAAGCCTACAGAAGCAAAGAAGAAAATCCAGCATGTTACGTGGCCATGAAGTAGCTGATGGTGCTTGAAAACAACAATATTGCTTCCATATTTTCAAATAGATAAGTCATATTTAAATAGCTGAAACAAACTTCTTTTTAAACCTTGCAGACATTGAGATTGCTGTGAAGATTTAACAAGTTTAACAGTTTCCTCTTGTAAAGCTGGAGTTGTTATCACCAGTCACCTTAAGAGTGTCTAATCTTGTACACCCAAGTAGTTAATTACTTCTTTAAAAGGTGGTGATATTACACTAGACTAAACCCCCCACTTTTAGTTTTCAAGATTATTATAGTTCATCTCCTCCATGTCACTATGATCCACATATTCTTTCAGTAAGATTCAGTTTTATTCCACTTCTGGTTAAATAGTTAAAATAGCTACTGAGATTTTAGAGGGATCCCAAGAGCCTTCTTGGCTTAAAAAAAGCAATGAATTTAGATAAGAAAACTGACCACTCTGCTGATAAGATAGTCTACAACAAACTTTTTTTTTCCTTTTTTGTTGCACAGGAGTGTAGAATTTGAAGTGCAAGTTAGGTGGGTAATAAGAGATGAACTATTTTAACAGCATTACTTCAAATTGAAGTTTCTCTTATTGATACATGAAGCAAGAAATGCACAGATGGAAGTATGTTACTGGACTGTTATGAAACTTGGAAAGGAAGTGGTGAGTGGGTTAGTGCCATGTTCTCTTAAATACACAGGCAGATTTTAGACAGACAGATTTTATACATGCATAAGTGTAAAAATGTGCCAATGTAGCAAATTTGATTGTTTTCCCGGTTACAATCATTGGCCTAAAATTTGGGGAAGACCAGTGGAATGCAGGGCAGTGCTTCCTCAGCTTACAAACACTTGGATAGGGGCATGGATAGGAAGACAGAGAAGTACCTTGAGAGCATTAGCATGTGTAATTGCACTCTAGAAAAAAAACAACCCACAAATCTCTTTTCCCTGCCTTTGATAATTTAGGAAGGATCATGGTTTTCTGTGAAACTTAGTGTTTCATCTGGACTATTGGTAGTGCCTTACAGGGCAGAAATCCAATTAGGTTGATGGAAGAATTTTTATTAAAACTCAGTGGCTCAGGGTGAAGCCAATTTAGATCAGGTTGAGATATGGATGGTAAATAATGATAGCAATGCTCCCAGACATTGTAAAACAAAAGAATCAACTCCTGAGTCCTCTTAGTTAAGTCACTAAAAGAAGCTGCCAGTAGTGATCTTAAAGCTTGTTTACATTTTTAACACTGGTTTATATTGAAACCAAAAACTGTAGCTTAGTTCATTACTTGACAGAAATTCTCCAGTCACTTTTTAGGACATAAAAGGCACTTCTTGAATGCTGTAAAATGGTAAGAATGTGTGTTTTGCTCTAGTGTGCTGTTTCCCTTTTACTAAACACTTGTGCAGTTTTTGTACTTGAGTACAGCAAACTTTAACGTAATGTACATTTTGTATGTAAAGATTTGTCTTTTCAGTAGTCTTATCCTATTTAAATAAATGAAAAGCAAACGAAGCAGTGCTGACTTGTTTTTGTGATGTAATTCAGCTTGTTCAGATAATGCTGTCAGGGTAAAAGGCTTGGTACCTACTCTGGGGTTTTAGCAGCAGTTAGTATCACCTGAAGTGCTGGTTCTTGCACTAACCTAACAGTCTGAAAGGAATTCCATTTTGTGGATGGCTTCTTAGCACTGGTCTAGAGTCTAGGTGTGTTTTGTGTAGTTCCAGTTGCTAGGAGCACATATGTGTTGGTATGTCTTAAGGAGGGATATGCAGAACTGTACTGGAGTTACAGCATGATGCTGCTATTGCATGGCAACAGCTTTGTTTTCAGGCTGGTATGCCTTGTTTCACCTACCTTTCCCCAAAGCTGGGACCATTTTGCCATCTGTTGCAGTGCTGTCGTGCTCTAACTGCCTTCACAGAATCTGTAAGGTTGGGAAAGACTTCCAAGATCATCAGGTCATCACCTTTCCCTGAATACCACCATGCCCAGGAAACCATATCACAAAGTGCCATATCTAGTTGTGGCACTTCAGGGATGGTGGGTGACTCCACCACTTGCCTGGGGAGCCTGTTCCAGTGCTTAGAATCATATAATTTAGGGGTTGGAATGGACCTTAGAGATTATCTGGTCCCATCCCCCCCTGCCCTGGGCAGGTTGCTCAAGGCTTCATCCAGCCTGGCCTTGAACACAGGGTTGGGGCAGCCACAGCCTCCCTGGGCAACCCGGGCCAGTGTCTCACCACCCTCACAGGGAAAAATGTTTTTCTCACATCCAGCCTAGACTTCCCCTCCTTCAGTTTGAACCCAACATCTGAAGATTCCTGTTGGTAGTGTGAAGCATTTCTTTCCTCCTCTTGCTGGACACAAATGATTTCCATCCAGAACATGTACTGGGATCATACATTGCATAACATGGCTATATTCCTTGCAGTTTGCTTTGGGAAAAGAGTTACCTTCCTTTGGATTGTTTCCTTTTGATTTTGTTGTCCTGCCAGCTTGCTGTTGCTGACAGATACTTCTGTGGCAAACATGAAGCTGAAATTACAGGATCATCAAGGTTGGAGGAGACCTCTAAGATCATCCAGTCCAACCATTAACCTGTCACTGCTGGAACCCCTAAACCCTAAACCAGATCCTCCAGTGTCAGATCCAGATGCCTCTTCAACCCTTCCAGGGATGGTGACTCCACCACCTCCCTGGGCAATATTCCAGTGCCTCAACACCCTCACAGGGAAAACGTTTATCCTAACATCTAGCCTGAACGTTAGAGCAAATCTAATCTTATGCTAGAGCAAAGGGTATTCCTTGGCCCAATACAGAACCAAATGAAAGGATGCCCTGCTAGAGAAGCTAAACTGACTTTTGCAAAGCAAAATGCCTTTTGAATTGTTTTGACCTCCTTTCTTGCTGAGAAGAAAAAAGCTTTTGGTTTTGAGTTGAGTGCCTATGAACACATTTTTATCAGCTGCAGTAAGTTCAGTGTTTTCACACAGTCTCTCAGTTTTGCTGATCATTTTCCCACTGACATGAGTTAGTAGAAGTTGTACCATCTGAGGATTGTCTAAACCTCACCCCCAGCAGTGACTGTGTGCAAAAAGGATTGTGTTTGTATGGCTTTTACATTGTGTCTCTTCAGACTATGAGGACATTTAAATTGCAAACAATATGTGAGCACCATTAAACCACAATCACAATTTTGTTTGAAAATGATTTTATTTTGAAAAATACAATGTGCAGCAGAACATCAACTCACCGTAACACTGACGCTGTCGATCAGAACTGGCACTTCACACAACGAGCAGCTAGTCATGCAATAAAATATGTTCCTGTCATGAAGCACTCCCACTTCAACTGTTTTATCATCATCTCTTTATGGCATGGCACAAATCCCTGTACATTGGAACACACTCTACAGGCTTTCTACAGACTTGACAGCACGCACTAGTCACGTAGCTCAAGAACAGAGGCAAGACCACCACCTTATTGAAACTGGATGGAGTTTGCCACTGATTTCAGTGTTTCACCCTGAATATCCACCTATCAATGTATTGTGTGTGGCCATTGTGATTCTTGAACTGTATCACTTACTTGGAACTGGAATATGTAGTGGAAGGGGGGAAAATACCAACCCCAAACAACAAAAATAGTATGTTATGTCAAAACTAGTCAAATTGTTTTACACCTTGGGTTTTCCATTAGTTTATGTTAACTGTAGAAATCTAAAACACCAACACTGCTACTAGAGTTTTTCAGGTTGTTTTCCCACCAGATTTGGAGAGTATAAAGAAAAAGGTTAAGTAATGTTAATAGTACAGTGAGACACAGAGTGGCAAAGCGAGTTCTGAACATGTTTCAGACTATATATTGCAAGCACAGCTTCCCTCCTTTCTTCCTCACCTCTTAGTTTGAGCTTTAGATATCCTTCCCACATTCAGGGCAAAGGATGTCATCCCTTTCTGTGAGGAAGCCACGACCCACCAATGAAAGAGAGCACTTCTTACAGTTAAAGCAATCATTATGCCACTGCCGTTCTTCAAAGGAGATGTACTTGGTTCCTCCGAGTCCTGTTTGAAACCAAAAGTGTTCTGTTACAAAAGGAGAACAGCACATCAGCCATCAAGTGATGCTATTTCAGGTAATGTGGAGATCCAAGTGAAACTATTTCAGGTAATATAGAGATCCAACACACAGTAGTGAAAAAAACGCCACTGTGACAATTCTGTTTGCTGCTGTGCTAATTTTGCCTCCCTTATCCTGTAGCAACTAATATTTTCATCCTCAAGTATTTCTGTTGCTTTCAGCTAAGTTAGTGAGCAAGGTTGTTATCGTGAGCAAGGTTGTTATCAGTGGTGATAGTGGCAGAAATGAATCATAGAACCATAGAATCATCAAGGTTGGAGGAGACCTCTAAGATCATCCAGTCCAACCATTAACCTGTCACTACTGGAAACCCTAAACCCTAAACCAGATCAGTGTCAGATCCAGATGCCTCTTCAATACCTCCAGGGATGGTGACTCCACCACCTCCCTGTGCAATATCCCAGTGCCTCAACACCCTCACAGGGAAAACATTTCTCCTAATATCCAATCTGAACCTCTAATTCTTGTTAGGCACTTGAAAGGCATTACAAGTATTTAACTTCACATATCTTGGATTCTATAGTGTCTTGAGTCTTTCAAGTCGTCCAGAATAAATCATCGAAGCATTTTCAATATGAGGAACAGTTCACTGAAAGTAAAAAACAACACAAAAGCCCCACAAACTTTAAAGGCAGCAGCCATGAGACACCTACCACTGATTGGGTTTGTGCATCCTGCACACTTCTTAGCGTAGAGGTTGCAGAAGCAGCTCAAGCAGTAGGCAAACTCATCCCTGGAGGTGAAGCGTTGTCCAGACAGCTGCTTCTTGCACCCAGTACAGATGAAGCATTCCTTATGCCACGGCTGCTCCCTGTAGGTAACACCCCCTGTAGTGATGGCCTGGTGTAGGAAAAGGAAGACAAAGTGTTTTGTAAGGGTGGCAGGTTTGCATCTTGGTTTGGTTAGAGAGGAAGGAGGATGAGGATTTTGTGGTTGGGAGGAGGGAAAGAAGTCTTAATAGCAGCAGGAGCATCATTTTGGATGAAGCTGACCTTGAGAAAATCATGCAAGTGATTTAATTGAATTATAGGATCACAGAATTTTAGGGGTTGGACCTTACAGATCATCCAGCCCCAACCCCCTGCCCTGGGCAGGGACATCTCCCACCAGAGCAGGTTGCTCAAGGCTCATCTCATCCA